TTACCAGCGAACCGAGGCACGTGGACGGACACCTCGCTTACTTCAAACGGGGCCCGGAAGGACGCTAACCGAGTGACGGACGGACGGACGGACGGACGGTGGATATCGCAAGTCCATATCAGCAATTGGTCAATAACGACGTCGTTGGTACGGAAATAACAATGGTCGAACACTCCTTCAAAAAATAGACCACACGCGCACAGAGGTGGCTCGGGACTACCCGGATTTATCCGGAGTGGTTCGCAAAAAAGCGGGTGGACTAGATTCAGTCAACAAACCTAGCCACCCCCGAAGCTTTCCCTGACTCTGAAGCAGCCAAAAATTCCACTAGGATTTAATGGAACAAGTAGCACACTGCCCGTTACGGGGATCATAAAATGTTGGTTTTTCTATAATTTTATGTAATGAACAAAACTGGCATTACTATTGAAATTTGTACAATTTATCTTTAAATGTAAATTAAGGTCTAAGATTTGTTATTTAATAAATGCCTCTAATAAAATTCTAATACATTTTCTGCGCTCTATTTGCAGTTTACTTACTCCCTGCTACCTTCGCTAACCTATGGCCACTTGGCGGTATGATAGCGGAATTTTATAGAATATAATTTTGTTGAATAAGAATTCAAAACCAATGCTTATCGAGTTTAATTGAAACCATAAATTGATTTTATTACCTTTGGAAAATTACTGAATATTTCACTGTTTTTTGCACAAATCACTTCCTTCGCTGAAGAATGTTTTTGATCCGAAGTCTTGTTATTTCAATTTTATCTTCTTGAAATCGCAGGAACGTCAATCCACACCTTCTTGTACTGCCGCACTACGACTGCTTCCACAGTATGTATCTCCTGCAGAGCAATCAAAAAGTCCACTTGAGGACCATCCTGAGACATGTCGAGAAGATAGATCGCGCGCTGATAAGAATGTACAATGTCGCCCATATCTTTTGTAACTACTATTTAGTATCCATTTAGAAAAAAAATTCTTTCAAAGGCATCCCGTATATTGGTTAATTTATCTGAGAGTCATTGTGAATTAGAAACATAGTGAAGATATTTTGATATCAAGCTATTGTGTTATCAAAGATTGAGATTAGTGTATTATAAACCTTCCCTGATTAATAGGATTAGCAATCGTGTCAATCAGAGAAAGATTTCTGAATTACTGTCGTTTTACTCGTTTCCAAGGGCTTCTACAACAATTCTAGTTGCTACTACATCACACACTTTCTCGAATAATTTGTAACGGTTACGTAATATTATAATACTAAGTGAATCCGCAAAATGTGTGCAACCTGCGAATATATTTGCCAATGCTGAGTTTAAAAATAAGGCGCAAAGGTACCACAGTCATCCGTTACAACACCAAACTTTCCATCTTCTATAAATGAATGCAAACGTCACAGCAAAAGAAGTTCTATTCGAGCAACCAAAGAAAATGGAGAAATTTCTTAAAACATTTTGAAAATGTCCGGGTCTCACGTAAAATCTCTAAAAATGCAATAATCTTTCATATCTGAAGGGCAGTCGCATGTCAAGTAGATCGGGGAATTGATATTTCTGGTGTACGGTTTAGGCTTTTGTATTCACAAATGAACAGAGATTTGCTTTAAATGACCTTTTTCTGTATCAGGGATCTACAAAGATATTTTTTCCTATCGAAAAACAGGACAGTTGTTCCTGCAGCATTATATAACTTCCGAAAGGTAGCAAATTTTACTATCATTATTATGAGTATTTTTCAATATCTAAAGCAAAATGTAGTAGCTTATTTCTAGTTTTTATACATTACTTGATAATAGGTTATATACTCATTATTTACAACATTTACCTTTACACCTAATAAATCATTAAATTCTATCGACAACCTGATATCTTTCAGACGTATTTAATGCTGGAGGAAACATGTTTCTAAGTAAAAAATCTTTTATTTTTACAAACTATAATTTCAGGGGGTAGATAAAGCTATCGGTACTTCGACTTTTCTATAGTGACTGACAACATTGTTACATTTCCTGCCTTATAAAATGAATATTTTAATTTAATTTGCGAACATCGTTCTCAACAGTGGCCTCAGAAATGTGCTTACCACTATTAGAAATATTCATTATATAAGGCAGGAGGTGTAACAATGACTTATGTCATCGACACCTGTAGAAAATTCGGAGTATATAAAAAAGGATAAAAAATAAATTAAAAATATTCATATACATTTTTCTCTAAATATGGTAACAGGTGAATAACTGGATTTGCATTCGAATTAGAAAGAAAAACGTTTACATCTGCGGTGGCGAAAGCCATTGCGTTATCACAAACCACGTTCCCTTTCATTTGTACTGTATCAAAATCTACTCTTGAAAATTGGTTTCAAACTTAAGTTTTGAACTAATACAAGAATGCGGATTTTTCCAGACACTTCAAAATACTCTTATTTGTTATTTTGTTTCCATTAAAAAATCAGTAATTTATAATATACAATAAACTAAGTAGGATAAAATCGTTTACAATTTTCAAAAACCGTTTACAGTTCATGTTCCTAAGTAAGAATGAAAATAGAAAAAATATTAGAATGCTTTTTCAAGTTAATTAGTAAATAGCAATGAGAGGGTATCAGTTAAAACTTAAAGATTGAATATTTATTATTTAATCTTATCTATTTATAATATTAATATTTTCATTCAAAATGTGCAAAATTTTGGGTACCAAATCCTGTTAACTTAAAAGTTATGAAATTACAAAAATTCAAACTCTTCTATTGCGATAGCTGTAACTACCCCCTTAACTCTTAAATATTCCGTTCTAATAAATGAAGACTCGACAATCATTGAAACTTAGTAGAGAAATGCCTTTGAGTAAAATATTAAACGAATATATCCTAAATTTCATTTAGTTTGACTACCACATTTACACTTTTGATTTTACATTTTTTCTTACACATCTACGAAATACTCTGATACCTACATTTTCCAAGTGTTGTGAGAATGCATTAAATGTATCCTACTGAATTTCGATTCAATAAGATTTTTGGTTCAATAAAATTAGGATAGAAATACCAGTGAATTATAAACAATTGTTTTAGAAACTGCACTTCCAGTTATGAGATATTAAGGATTTACTACAATTCAATACAAGAATAAACAGTTATTAGTGAAGAAAAAACTGTACTGAATAAACAGCACTTACCTGGGTTCTCTTGGGAAACTCCCTATTACGGATAATCCGATGTCAGATTGAAACCAGCATACGCTACAAAGAGCAAAACGTATTAATTTATTTTTAACGGGCAGAGAAAGGAAGGTTGTTTTTACCGCGATTTTCCTTACTTGTGACTTTGGAATTCATCAACGGATTTTGATATTTGAATAACTAAACGTTCCATTTTGAAAGAGGTGCTGCGTTCTGTCCAAAGTTTCTGGATTTGCAATAAAGCGGACGAGGAGCAGGTAAGGATATATACTAAGTTGTAATTAATTCACATACTAAATGAATTAGTGGTATCAAAAATTAAGTATAAATGTGCAATTTACCTACGCCGAGGCCTGAAACATTTTCGAAAAGAAATTCTAAAAATTATTCTATTTCGTAAACATTTGTATCTACTTTTATTTAATCTTCTTGAATTCAGTATTACCATTAACTAACATCGGGAAAAGAAATCATTTCAAAAAGTTTTAAAAAGTACAGAAACATAAATTGAATAAACAATTCCATCATATTTTTGCCATTTTAACATATTTCTTTTGAATATCGACCAATAAATAATTAATTTGCGCACAAAATAATATTTCCGTTAATAAAGAAAAATATAGTCTGTGAAAATAAATGACAATGAAACTCTTAGCAGTTTCTCTTGTATATTCACTATTTAAAGAAAGTTGGAAATCGGAAAATAAAAGTCTGCCATAACTTCTACTTATACGAAGGATGGCGCGATAATCAGTTAGCCTTACCTGACAAAGAGACACACGTCCGACGCGAAGGGTACAAGTGCTTACCACTTGTATTGATTGTACAGGTCCCTATTGATGACGAAGGGCTCCATCTCGTGCAGAGTGCGACCAGCAGAAGAGGTGATTTCGTTCGCGGCACAAGATGAGCGCATGTCGCACACCACTCTATTGTGCGCCCGCAGCTTCTTTGATCTTTTATAGTCCCTCGCCACTGTTTTATCTCCCCCTCTCCAGTCCTCTTTCTTCTCACCTAGCGGATCACAGATAAGCGGTCTATGCTCCCTGACAAAAGTCAAACCGCGTCAGAGCTGCCCGGTAGAATTCCAATCCAACTCCTATGCAACTTCTCAGCTTCCTGGCAGACGCTGTAGTCGTTTGCCGTTTGGTAACTCAAGCAAGCGCGAAGATAGCGACCTCTTGTGCCGGCCTGACTGTTTGGCGAACTGGAGACGAGTGATTCACGGCTCCTCTTATAAAGAGTCTAAGGTGACCTCGGGGTCAGACTGGTTACATAAACAAACCAATCTAGCAACGAGAAGTGGAACGAGATAAGCAACTACAGCTGTCGTTACATAAAGACAATAGGAATGCAACGGGGTCGGAATATAGAATTGTATTAAACTGTTTTCACTATATTCTTGGAACGCGACCTGTCAATACGAAAATTACTGTAATATGGGCTCTGAAAATATCGAAAGGGGCTCTGTAGCCCTATGTAATATATTTTATTTCCGTAAATATGTTCAATCGCTTATTTTACTTTATTTAAGCTGACAATTTGGGAAATTTATTCACAACATTTAGGGAAGAGGTTCTACAAACCATCTAGTATCTAATAATTGCATCCGACTTATAATATTTTTTATTTATTTACTAATAACATACGACGTAAGTACATAAAAAATTAAAATGGGAAAGGAGACTTTAGAGGGCCATACGCTGAGAGGACAATTGCAGTTGCCGCCCCCCCTCTCGTTTAAGTCTGCGCATGCACATGAATGAACGATTTTAGGAAATTGTTGCAAGTTCGATTTCAAGATGGATGAACTGCCAAATAGAAGTAAATAATATTTATAAAATGGTACCGTATTCAATGTAAACCTATTTAGTTGAGTTAATCGCATAACAAATGCTCGATATTTCATTAGTTCATATTCATTGGGCTCTCTTATTATTTGATGAAATCTACGCCATGTTCGCCGCATACACAGATCACTCACACAAGAATTGGCTTTGGTAGTTCAGTATCTCTGATTGGAAAGTCGTAGAATTTGAGTTTCGACAGTCGGATTTTCAACACCAACTACATGCAGTGACAATTTAATATTTGACCACATCAAGCATTAAATTTTGTAACTAATTTTGTAATTAAATTACAAACTACATTTTGTCCAAAGTTAAGTAGAAAAATTGTAATATTACATAATACAGTGAATGAAGTATTTTTACAAAAACAGTACACTCTAATACAATAAAAACTTCACTAATGCAAAAATTTTGAGCGAATTTAATTCTCAGCTATCTAATAAAACAAAATAGAATTAAATAATTATTTGTCCTAAATATTTGGGTGGAAATTTCTACCCAATTTTACTTTTTCTAGATTCTTACCATTACCATTTTACTTATCCTAGATTCTTTGGTGTGTGTTGGTAACTTTTTTTTTGTTGTACTCAGAGTCAATTTTCTCCCATTCTTGCAACAACTTCGTTTTGAGTTCTTCTTTTGGCGTAATGGATGTTTCTCGAATTTTCTTGAGTTCCTTCCACAAATGCTCAAAGGGATTCAAGTCTGATTACTGAGGGTGTCCAACATCGTTTATAATAAATGTACAACAGCCACTCCCTCTCAGTATGGGTCTTATGTTTGGGATTGTTATCTTGGTAAAATTTAAAAGTGTTGCGAGGTTTAGCCTAGAAGCTGCCTAGTTTATCAGCACATCTGTGCAAGTTGTTCTTTGTTCATTGCATCCTCAATGAAGGTCATGTGCCCCACTCCTGATTGGTTTCCGAGGGGGAAATGCACTCCGAGACCTTCATACTGCCCCTACCACGTTTGACTGAAGCCAGCACATTTTTTCTTTTCAAACTCTGAATTTGACTTCTGCCAAATCCTAACACAGCCACCTCGGGATTTTTCTTCACCTTTCTGACGGTGAGACGTCTTTCGTGTTCATTCTGCACCTGTGGACGACCTTGTTGAGACACAGGCAGGATTCTATCCCAATTTTTGTATCTCAGAATATCACCAACCGTAGAATGGGGAATCGTCAATAGAAAACGTATTTGTCTTTATTTCTGTTTCTTTTTTTCCCTTCATATGTTGAAATATGACCAACTGTCGTTGTTCAAATGTGATCTTAATTTTTCGCCCAATTTCATGAAAGAGATGCCCATCCCTCTGGAGACCTTCAGGTCCAGTTAGAACACTGAATTTAGACGTTTATTTTTTTCAAATTTATATCCGTTTCTTACGTACGCGCAGTTGCGAAAGGCTCTCCCGGCCGAATATTAAATTGGAGCATTTTCGCGGAAGTGCAATTAGCACAGTTACAGCAATTTTGATTTTATGAGTTTGATATTCGGGTAGTGTATGCCAGAGAATATCATGAAGCACACTGGTGTCGTTTTTTCACTTTCTATGATTTATGAAAAGGGCGTAAACCATAAAAAAATCGAATAACGGCGGCCGAATATTAAATTGTAAGACTGGTGCTTGGTCGCATTTCGCCGCCATCTCCAGTCGATTTCTAATGGCCGGCTGCTCTGATCTGTAGTTTCCCGTGAACTCTCCAATCAATACTAGACGAATGTCGGAGCAACACCTTATAAATTGGGCCACGGATATTGCGTCATCATTCCTTCCTCATCCTTATCATCATCATCCCTTTTTTTTCCACGCACATACATCTGACAAACACTTCACTTTCACATCCGTCGGTAGCGCAGACGGGAGCGTGGAGCTTGTTCCGGCTGGATCGGTGTCCCGCAGATATGAGATAGTGGACGTGGAAAACCTGTGAACCGGCATGTAGGTCGGCGCCGGATTTTGCGCTCCGCACAAGAGCGGCATTTGTGAAAGGGTAGCAAATTCGGCATTTGTTTAATATCTGCATTATTTTTACATTTTTTATTTCAAACAAAAAAGGTTTACTTTATCATTAATGCATATAAAAAATTGCCTTTTATTGTTAAATTATGGGTCGAAAAAAATAAATAAACGGATACTTATACTTATGTGATACAATTCTCGGAGATTTCATCAACTCCGTTTCATATAATGTAGGTTACTTTTATCACTCCCGTGGCAATTGTAAAGTCGTCGCACGACTTTACAGTCAAAAGGTTGTATAAGCTAAATAAAATCTATGTAACAAAATTTAAAACATTATAACACGGGAGCGTCAGAAAGAAAAAATAAAGCACAAGGGCCGATTCGAAGGCTGAGATGGCTGAGCCAGTAGTGCAGTGACGGTCTCGGTCCAAAGAATCGCGGGGTCGAGTCCCGCCTCGGACATGGTTGTGTTGTGTGTGTCTCTGAGTGTTCGGGTGTGTCTATTTCATCATCATAATTTCATCCAATCTTCCAGGGCTAACAACCTCGGTGTGTAAAAAATCAGCATTAAAACTCCAATTCCTCTTTATAGAATTATATCGTACACCTATCCCGATAATCAAGTCTGAGCCCCGGCGGGATGCAAGTACCGCGGGGCACCTTGATGACAGATTTGCAAAACAAAAACGCATAAGGTCGCAAATTACCTTGACGTGGCCTATTCAGCGGAACAGAAATATCATCACCTCCCGATTATAACGTGCTCTACACTTGCAGGACTAAAAACCATAGTTGCACGCTCGAAAAAAAACCAACAACTATATTCTCGCATAAACCCGCACACTCTCGCGCGTGGACAAGAAGACGGAACAGTTGCTTTCGTCCCTGTGTTTTACATTGCGAGAAATTTATCTTTAATTAGATAAATTGAAATAAGCGTTACTATTGCATTTTGGTGTAGAAAAATAAAACAAATAAAAATTAAAGCATTAACCGCCGAAAGTCAAATATTGCTTGACACATCTTGATACACACAACAGTAATTTGCATGGAATTTGATATCTTGCTTACCAATAATCTTAGTTACAAATCAAATTGACTATCAGCTGTAAACTTAAATTGAAGCTTATAAGTGCTCTCTGACAAGATATCGTGTCTAATTTATGTATTTAGTTAATATTTTATGGGCTCATTCTTACCCTTGAGGTCAATTGGCAAATTCTTAGAACTCATTTCCAATAATACATTGCCAATTAGAGAACGGTTTTATTACTTCTGGGGCTCGTAAAGCATGAAATCTACGAGTAGGTTGAATACAGACAATCTTTATGTTCTTTTATGTCCCTGAAAATTATTTTAATTCCTACTACACTAATTTTTAGATTTTCAAAGATGAAATAACAATTTTAAATGCAAACTACATCTCAAAACCGTTACCAAAGTGAAGCTAGAGACGTTGGATACTTAACTGAATATTTCTAAATGTGAAGTTCTTGTGGCACTTTCTTAAGGAGGCAGTGTGTGAGATTGTCAAAGTGACAACCTTTGTACCCGCGTATGGCAAATTTCCTCTACACAGGTGCTGCCTACACTTTTCTAAATTCATCTTCAGTGTGGGAGAGTCTTAAATTAAACTTACCATCCACAGTGCTATTCATAAACCACAGGCCAGGAAGACCCATATTCAAGGGGCGAGGGAGGTAGGTTGTCAAAACCAGCCAACAAACTGGGAAGGAAGTTGCCGGGATAAGAATTGTCAGGGTCACTTCTGTGGATTCTTTCAATCTAAGTAGCGTCCTCCACCTCGATTTGACTAATCATTTTTGCGATACACTGCGCAAGGACGTAAGGAATTGCAAGGCAAGAAAAACAAATAAACAAACAAATGAAATGTACGCGCGTTTATTAAATAGCAAAGAACACAACACTACTACACAGGCATGACCAGCATGCTGCGCTGCCCCAGACACCTCGAATGGTGATTGGACGCCATCTTGCACAAGGGGGCGTACACCTCGAGGCCATGCTCGCGTAATCCACCAAGTACATTTTCATTTTCTGATTTGTCATCCACTGCGGTAAGGGAAACGCATATTCGAGTGACTGACAAAGCTCACCTAAATCCTCAAAATGTTTAAATTCTTTCGATTTACATTTCGAAAGGTTGAAGTTCTTTAATATCTTTTCGATAACGTTGTGCAATAATGCAATTTATTAAGAAGATAAAGACGTTCAATAACATTCATTGTAGGCTAAAACTTTCTGGCATGAAACTTTTGACTCTGGTAACCTGAATTTTGCTTATTTGTACTTAGTGTTTTGCGCTCGCGCGGCATCAACCTCTTGGAGCAGGAAATGAGCGCTGAAAAGGCCAAGCATCGGCCGCGCATACTTTTAGAATTACACCAACTTTCTTCAACAAAAAAAGTATAATTTACTTTTATTCGTAATGATTTGTACACATTTGCAGTAGTTAAACCTTGGTTAAACCAATGGTTCGAAAAGAACCTCACAAAAAAATGGTCACAAAATTTAAAAAAAGCGTGCGTTAGATTTCGTATGTACAACTAAAGGCTTTGAAAAAATAATTAAGAAAAACATTTTAAAATCTTTTATATTTTATAATGATTTAAATGCAAAAAAAAAATCAAATTTGAAAATGTTTTCCAGTGAGTACAATCAATCGTTTCTAGAGATTCATTTTGAGCGTTATGAGAGTTCTAAAACTTTCCCTGGCCAATTCATTCATCACGGAAGCCTTATGAAATGCCATGTCGAAAAAATAAAACATTAAAAATCAATTGCCTAAAAGGCAGGAAAATTACATATGCCAAGAGCATGGAAACCTATCTTTTTTCACATATTTGGCTCATTAACTCTATTTCTATTAGTTCCTATTGCCATCATGGATATCATCCAGACCGTTCTTCACTTTGAAGCAAGAATATCAGATAGATGATTTTATTGACTTTTATGTATAGTTGTTGATAAAATCAATAATACTGTCGTATCACCCTATGAGATGGACTATGTGAAGATACTTCATGATATTACCTCAAGTGTATCGTAGGTCTAATTGTGCATTTTGTTGAATAATGCTTCGCAATTTATTAAAGGATGTGAATCAATAGTAAAGCAGCACTGCGTATTTCTCATTAACTCAAAAGTGCTCATGTTTAAGGATCTAAAAGTCTAATCTACTTATGAGATTCAGAATAAGACATTATAAGTACTAATGGAATTTCCCCATGTATAATAAGAATTTATGATCTTTAAACATTTGAAATAAGAAAACTGGGTAGGTTGATTTTCAATTATTATTAAGAGGAAGTGTTTCTGAAGCGAATCTGGATTATGACATTCTACTTTATTTTGCATAATTGTAATTGCATTCGTATATTTAAGTCCAGTATTTTGCCCCTGAACTTTTTTCAAGGTAATATATATTATGCAAAATACATTCATACGGATTTTCGGCAACACAATTAACGAATAAAAAATGTATATAGATTTACATGCTCAAACTTTAACGTAGTCGCAATCTGCGGAAAAGTTTCGACACAACTAATATTAATCCCATTGAGGAGGTTGTATTTCAACATGTGTCTAATGTCGGTGTGAGTATAAAACAGGGATGTGCAACGAGGTGTTAGCAGAAAGTATACACGGCTAGCTGCTGGATCCAATTTCGAAAGATGTTAGGATTCAGTATCAACAATCAACATAATTTTGCATAGAGTGGTACTTATCTGCTAATACAATTGAACTACATAAAATTATTGGACATTTTGTTGAAGTTTTGATAACGATTTCGTTGAAGATTAAAATCCTAAATCTTTGACACGAATTTCTATAGAAGTACTTGCTACGCAAGGAAAACTGTTCATTATGTTACTTTAAAAACTAATCCAATTTTATGAACAGTATTATGGTTGTCGATACGCATCGTATAAAAAAGTTTTTAAGGCTATAGGTCTATGTCCGGGAATAATTACAGAAAATTGTTCCCAGTTTCCAAATTTCGTTTGAATTGCACGCAACATATTTCACGAGGGTATTGCAAAAGACAAACTACATTCTTTTCAAATTAGCTTACAAAAATATAATTTTCTTATCTAAAACCGTCTGTCAGAAATTCTATTTGTTCGATAATGCATGTGTTGCTACCTATTTAAACTGCTGGACTGAACATCGGGTAGGCACTTAGTACCTAGAAGGTCACCGGCCAGGCAGTCTCTCACTGGACATTAAAAAAAATCTTCCTGAATGATGGGCAATCAGCTCATGAACGTAACATTTGACACACTTTATGGTCACTAATTTTTCTTACTCAGCCTAAAACAAACTCGTCAATTACATATGTTAATTACATATGCTCATCTTGTGAGATTGAAATTGTGAAAATTTCAAAATCGTGCTTGGTTACCTAAAAAGTGCATCAGTTTGCCACCGAATATTCTTACGTCAAATAACTATTCACTGGTCTTCGAGATTAAATTTGATTTAAGATGAAAACATACTATACGCTTTTCGTGAGTAAAGTTTCGAATCTTTAGGACGCCATTTTCACGGCAATAAAATTAATACTAGATGTTACAGATGCTTGCTACTCATAGACATGTAGTATCCTGAAGAAGTTACAATAAATAAGAGATACGTCGACATCTCGGAAACCCATGTAGTGTGTTTACACCCATTCGTTTCTACTTCACAAACCAACCTAAACTCGAGAACCTATAAATTGTAAACGCAAGGGTCAAACATTTCCTAGCGTACGTCATTTGTTCACCTGGCGTGCTTTCCCCTAGGGGCGATCCTGGCTACGGCTCTGACATGGCGCCCGTGCGGCGCAAAGTGGGAGTAAAATGTCCGGACCGGGGCCAGTACGTCAAAATGGCGGGCGGCTGGGCAGAGGGCAGGAGGCGTGGCTTCCGCGCGGACCCGCGTTGCACATCCCTGGCTACCGCTCCGCCGACGGCGACGCCGGTCGTCGGCTCAGAATTTGGCGGGCAGCGCGTCCTTGGCGCCGATCGAGTGCCGCTTGGGGCCGTTGGGGGCCTTGAAGTCGCAGAGCGCGCCGCTCGCCGCCGCCGCCAGTCGCGCTTGGTGCTTGCCTTCCTCGCTGTGCTGCAGGCTGTACGTGAAGTAGATCAGGAAACCTGCGGGCAGAACGGTTGATTGATTGATTGATTTCAGGCGCGTACAATAGCCAGCGCGCGGCGATGCTGTAACGGTTAGCGTACCGTTACACCCAAGTTGGCGGGTTCAAACCCGATCGAAGCCGTGGGGGCGAAAAAATCCTTCGTACGTCTTCCTTCGGAGGGGAAGTAAAGCCGGCTGTCCCATGTTAGTAGACATGTAAAAGATCCTCAAGCCTAAACGACGCCTCTAAGCTAAATTCAAATCGCCTGTTTCTCGCCCAAGAAATACCTCCTTTCTCTGCTAGTTGGTGAAAGGAGCATAGCGAAATTTGCGTGGTCATACGGAAGAGCAGGCCTCGTAAAATAAGGCTTCAATTCAATTCAGTTTCATTACATTACGGGAGTAATAGCCTTAGCAATTAGTGCATGTTTTTATCGAGGGGGTGGTGGCGGTGATCTTCTCTCGCTGGATGGCGATATCCGGCGCCGACCTGCGTCGGTTTTCCCTAACCAGATATTTCCCACGAAGCGGAGCAATCGCCCCAGCAGCCGCGTCAGCTCTGAGCTTCAGAATGAGATGCCTCCTTGTTTTGCTTCTGGACATAAATGTAACTTCAATTTAACTTCTCCCCATAGCACGTCAAACATAGTTTTAAACTGTTTTTGACGTACATAAATAAATAAAAATAACTTTTTTTTACAATAATAAACTCTTGTTTGGGGCATTAAGAGTTATTGTTTGACTTTCATATCATGTGAACTCAATAAAAAAATTCAAGTTATAGTGGGTTATCGAATGTTATCGAAATCGAAAATCCTGCCACCATCGGTCTGGACCTCCAGGTCAGAGACAACAGTGACATCAATTGAAGCCCTGAGCATCTAAACCGGTGGGCGCCGATTGGGGCAACTGAAATCGCCATCCAGAAGTGATGGATCAAGGTAGATGAGAGGACATGAGAATACATTACCCCAATCCCACACATTTTGTAACTTTATTCAATTTAATGAAAGTAATGGCTACACATTGATCGCATCAAATTCCAATAGAGTATTCTCATTACGAATAAATACACTTGTTTAAAATTTAGAGCTCACTTTTTATTTGAAAAATATTCAGAGGGAGCAGAAGTGGCATTCCTCCGCCCCCTCGAAATACTATCTGGATCTACCTCTGCCAGCAAGTATTGTAGTTGAAGGAGTGATTAAGGCTTGTATCACACGAAGGTTGACTTGTCGCTCGTTTGACGCATGATAAGTGATGCGCCTCGTAGATTAACTCATCTTAGGCGGAACGGTCAGAGCGCTCGTGTGCCTTTTCGCATAAGATAGTGTTATTCTACGAGAAGCATTACTTAACGTGCGTCAACGCAACGCTCGTGTGCACGGGCCCTAAAACAGCAAACGGAGTATTTGCCCAATTGTAAAATAAATTTACAACCAACTATGTTAAATAAAACGAAAATGCATTCTGTTAATCACAAATGTAAAATCTGTGATTTTGTATGGATTTGAATATGATAAGATACGAAACAAATAGAATAAATACAATTTCAAAAAATGTATGGATTTAATGCTTACTAAGAGGTGTTTTCAGTACATCTGATAACCTGGTGACCCGAGTGAGACATGCAAATGCAGATGTGTGTTACAAACTGAACAAAAACAATGTAGTATAAAGAAAAGTAAATAAATGGATTGGCATAATTCGTACAGTAATATTTGAAAAGCATGTCCCTCTATAGAATCATCAAGATGCCAGAAAACCTGTACACCGCAAAACAGCGTAGCAGACAATGGTCCAGCGGAAGATTCGCGGTTACTAAGAGACGGGAGCTGTCTCCGGGTCCATTACGTCATTGGGAATGTTGGATACATTATTTCCATGTCGGATACATTATTTCCGTAAATCATAATTGTGCGAATGAGCTGAGGTGGAGCAAGCTTTAAATAAACCGAAAAAAAAGTCAATATTAACTTAGAAAAATTGTCAGTTTTATTCCTTCTTCAAGGACGTTTCTCATCTGGCTTCAACTGTATATCCATGTTTACTTGTAAAAGCGAAATATCATTTACATAAGCACATTGTAATTTGTGAAGATATGATGAACAATCACAATTATAAATATTCTTGAAAGTCTGTTGTTTCTAAGAACGTAATGAACATATTTCATTTTAAAATTCAATTCTTAAACATGTATTTATCAAAAAAATGTTTCATTCGAGTATTATATACTGAGAGTATTTTTATTCAAAAAATATTCTAGTTTCAATGTTCGATCACTCCGTCGGTCACTCGATATTGTTCTCGAAATGGCATTTTTTATTAAAATATTCTAGAGATACTTGCATATTTTCACACTGATTAATAGAAAGTGGTCAATGAAATTTTATTAGAGAAAAAATTGAAGAAAAACTTAGTAACAGCGATAATTTTATACAGATGTGTATTTTATCGTAAGGGGAAAAATATTTATCTGTTAACTGACATTCTAATTTATGTATCTCGGCAAGACAACGACTAAAGCTATGAACTGAAACGTGTGTCACTTCATGTGCGTGCTTGCGAGAAGTTCTTCAAAAAATGAGGCGAAAACGTCTATGAACTAGGTTTGTAAAGCGAAGATACCGCAATGAACCACCCCCTTGCCGCAACGGGGTGAAGCGGTTGGCACAGAGAGGAACCAGAGTGGACTGGCAAGAAGCAGGTGTGCCCAGCCGAGCGCGGCTTAATCTGGTGGGGGATTGCACTCCTCGGCGAATGGGTGACATCATTTGACTTTGACATCATTTTAACAACTGTACTACTCAGAGCAAATAAAAAGTATAGATCTGCTTGTAAGGGATATAGGAGTTCAAGAATTTCGAATGAAAACTTTTCAGAAAGGAATATTTTTAAAAACAATGAAAACGAGTTACGAGTCTTTTGTGTATCGTGCATTAAATGACGCATATACACTTAAATTTGAATTTTCTGAGAACCAAAACATAATTCTCTGGGTTCGCCATTGTTAATTCAAAAAAGGGGTTATGTAAAATTATACAAATCTATGCATACTCCAGGTTGCCTATATTATTAGATTGCCTTTTTTCCTCCAAAAAGCTATTAATGTGTCAATTTTTCTTAAGAAATTCTAATGATCATTCATTACAGGTCACTCTGTGCTGTTCCACTCATTTCAGCCCCACATATCCAGCAATAATCACACCCGCAAAAATATAAAATGTAGAAAGAGATATTTTCATACATTATTCACAAATTTTTGCCTTCTTTTCAATATTTCTATTACATTAGTTCTTTAATTTCCAGCATATTTCTTCTAAATATTTCAATAAATTATTCAATTACTTTTAATTAAACTATTTAATTAATATTTAAGTAAATAAATATTAAAATTATACTTTAATAATTAATTTAAAGCGTACAAATTTCATGTTAGCCTCACACATTTTTTAACATTTCAGCAATATTCTGATCAAATCGTACCGAGATCAGTGCGAGGGAAAATTGCCGGTGCCGCGCACAAATTACCTCGACGAAGCCTAGACGCGAGACGCGTTTTCCTCACAAATCCGATCTCTCGCCATCGACCATCGGCCATCGCTGCCTCATCAAAAACAGGAAAATGAAGCAAGGCATCAGCAGGAGCAACAGGCCGACGACAGTCAACAGCAGCAGCACGATAAGCACGGCAGAGGCGTACACTCGAAACATGGACGGGGCCGAGCGCCTGCCGGCGGCCGTGGCAACAATTGCCGTGCGGCGGGCGAAAGTCCAGGCCCGTCGAGGACAAAGGCGGCGGCGGCGGCCCACGTGACGCTCGATAAGGGCTGACAAGCGCAGCACGCGGCGGCGACGCGACGCAACGCAACGCGGGGAGTCGGTGAGGTGGGCGGCTTCGCGATACCCAGGGCGCGGCCCCACTTCCTCCATTCGGCTGCCCTGGTCGTTCTCTTCTCCTTGGTTCTCTTCTTCTTTCTTCGTCCTCTGCTCTTCTTTCTTCTTTCTTCTTTCTTCTTCTTCTTCTTCTTCTTCTTCATCCTCTGCTCCTCTTTCTTTCTTCTTCTTCGTCCTCTGCTCCTCTTTCTTTCTTCTTCATCTTCGGCCTCTGCTCTTCTTTCTTCTTCTTTATCTTCTCCTCCTCCTTCTTCTTCCTTTTCTTCTCAGTTACTTTCTTTTACTCCTTTGTTTTATGACCTCTTCTTTTTTTAATATCATCGTTCATCTACTTCTCGAAAACGTTTTACAACGTCTTCATGCATCTCCCTTTTCTTCTTCCTCTTGCTGCGCAGCGCTACAGTCCATTTGGGCCTTGTACTGTTTGCATAATATAACAGATAGTAGTTCCTCTGTGATAGTAGTTTTGTCGAAGTCTTTCTAATCATGGGGATAAGCCATATGAGGATAGACCCAATGAATGAGGATGATGCGAGAGGGAGAGAATGGGAGGAAATAATCACGATCTGAATCACCATGGTCTGCGAGGCTTTTTTAAGGAACAGTTTCGGCATTCTTATATTGACGGGAAGGGATTATGAAGGGACAGATTTTATAGAATACGCTGACGATTTTTTAACAAACATTTCAAATATTTCAAATATTTTTTCCATGACAATTAATACATTCAAAGAGTTGAGAACATACATAGTTGATTCACATTAATAAATAGCTTGCATACGTCTAAGCTACAAATACTGAGGAAATGATAATTGGTAGTGGAGCTATTTCAATCCCTATTCAATGAGGAAAACTCCTTAATAATGAATATGCACTAGATTGTTGTTGATTATTTAAATGTCTACCAACGTTATAGTTTGTTATCAACGTTGTTAATGTTCCAAATCATAACAAATATGGAATTGGAAATAACTATAAATGATATTCATGAAATACTTCCCTTAATTAATGTCAATAAGAACCCTTTAATTAGCAATTAAGTCACGAAATGTACGACGGCACTCAGCGGGTACATCGATCAGACGGGTCGACCAGAGTCACAACCATTTTGATATTGAAAAAAATCTGCACAGTCATTTATCATCGTGTATCATCAATGGTGAATTCGCATGTATTACACTGCCCTGCCAAAAGTGAATAGGGGGCAACAATTCAGTGACCACGCACTTACGTCATCGTCATAGTTCAAATTTGAAACGTCCAAGGAAAATACGAACGCCACCGGCCCTGTTACGATGCATTTATATATCGCAACGAGTCGCAGATGCGAACATTTACCTCTCCTGAAAGCGGAAAAACTTCGGAAATCGGTCCCCAAAACGCTTAAATGTTTGTACTTTGATGTTCCTCAGTAATCGCAGAAGGAAACTACGAAATAGTTGTTATTAATTTTAAAGCGGATAAAAGAGATTATTATGCATGTTGTATTGATTAATTTTTTTGTACGTACGGTAGCGCTCTGGAAGTACTTGTGTTATACGAATATATTTTATCTTATCCAATGGCCCTTTTGACATTTTGACATATTTTAAGGAATAATATGTTCTCCCGTCTGTGTTGTTATTAATGTTAAAAACAAAACAGATACTTAATATTATTTTTCACTAATTTATTTTATTTAACTTTTCGACCCTTCTTGGAATCTTTTCAAATATTGTACCTTGGTTCTAATAACTTAAGTATTGAAATGTTTCATGAAATGCTTCTCAATACTTTTAAAAAAATGTAACTATGTAGTTTACAGTCCTGGACCCAAGATACAATTTTTGGAAACCCAAACAGGGTCGAAACGTTAAATTAAATTAAATTAAATAAATTACTGAAAAATAGTATTAATATGAGTGTTTTGAAAAAAAGATCATAATTTTTTTTAAACATTTTGACATATTTTTCGTGTGACTTTGGTGTTACGCTGACTTTGACAATACTTTTTATTACACCGGCTAAAACATAAAATTAAGTTTCTTTTGCTACGCGTTAAAAATGCTTTCAAATTGAATCAGTCCCCATACTAATCTTGTGTATAGTTTACAAATGTTCATTCCTGCCTGAAAAAGGCATAATAGCCTGACGAAACACATCCCATAGCCCCCAGACTATTAAATTACAAAATAAAATTGTTTAAATAATTAGCAAATCCCACCCATGTGATTCTTGCTAGTCTCTCTTTATTAAGCTATGAATTCTCCTTCTGCCTTGCCTCTTAAATTACAAAATAGTGTTTTTTGTATTATAAAAAAATTAAAAATTATACTTAAGAGCAGAAACATATTTTTAAAGAAAACATGTCTACTACTTATTACATTGGACGTCGTATTCTTATTCATTTTATTCAGTATCAATACTACAGTATATATAATAATTCAGTAATATAATAATACAGTACTACAAAAAATTCTCTTACAATACATGTACATTATTTTACAACTTTTTTACACTTTATCAGATGATATTATACGATTAAAATCGATAAACAAGTATAAGTGCCAAGAAAAATGTTCTCTAAAGCAAAACTGTTCTTATTCAATCAGAGACTATACCGAGCATCAAAAAGGAAGGCAATATTGATTTAATAAAAGATATTTAATGAAGTTACCATTTTGACAGTATAATTATATACCCGTAACTATGATAACTCAGTTCTGGATCAATCTTGATCAATTTTTTCCTCCATTTCCCCTGATTCTTGAACGAATGCTGAGATGGCACTTTGTTTTGCGTCTGTTTTGTGTTCTTTACTATCTATGTACGTATTGTAGAGTTCAGTGCGGAAAATTAATTCAAATTAACGTGCTCAAAGTTCTTGGGGCACGAAGTCCTGTCCTCCACGAAGGGCGCGACGAGGGGAAAGAGCACAATCTGCAGGATTTTTCCCTTTAATGTGTTTTTGTGAGGGGTGCGGGAAGGGCTTT